CATCCCAAAGTGGAGGATATGGCTTAGATTTTAAAATCAACAATGCCTCACTCAACACCCAAGTGGAAAATATATCTCTTCACTTCATATTGTAGAAGTATAGTTGTTTGCATCACTACAAGGATTGACAAGAGTCCAATCTTTTTGAGAAAATTTTAAACATAAAATGCCAAAGTGGCAAAATGGTTTGAAATGAGATTGATCGACTTTTAGTATTCTCACAAAAAATGTCAAGGTATTTTTAATTTGATTGGAATTTATTCATGAAGATGTTTTGAAAATGCATGGACATGAGTCCAAGTTTATTATGAAAGTGGTTCAAGTTTAGAAACAAGAAGAGCTTTCAAAAATAGGGAGAAGATTTTTGAAATTAAAGAAGATGGGAGGAGAAGAAGATACTATCCTAAAGCATAAGGTAAAAGCTTAAGGAGAAGAACCATCTAACTAATAAGAAGGAAATACTTGACATTATGAGTCAAGAGAGAATTCCCATTCTTTGGATTGAAACCAAGCAAGAAAAGATAATAGACCTCTTGAGAGAACCAAACTTCAAGCATATTAAGTCTTCACAAAAATTGGACAGAGTAACGGTTGTATACGGGTGAATTCCATATTACAAACAAAGAGTGTAATAACAATAACCTGCACACCACTACAAGAAAATTAGTGTTTAACGACACAAAAATTGCGACAGTTATGTGATAACTATCGTAATTGACATATAGAGACAATGTTTACGACGGTTGACACCAACCGTCCCTAATATTTATTTTGCGACGGTATATTTAACCATCATAATATTATTATTACGACGGTAAAACAACCGTCGGCCCCCATTTAACACTTTTAACATTGATTTTTCACCAACAACTAGTCACGACGGTAAAATTAACCGTCCTAAAAGGCATATCACGACGGTAAAGCACCCGTCGCACCCTTAAACCTTTCACAACGGTAAAATTATCCGTCCTAAAATTCATTTCACGACGGTAAAACAACCGTCGCACCCAAAACCTTTAAAAATTCTCATGGGCACGACGGTAAAACACCCGTCGCCGTAAAAAAGTTAAAAAGCTCATAAAACATCCATTCACTTTCTTCTCCTGCGTTCACTTTTTCTACTCACGGTGCCGTTCATGCCGTTCTTCTTCACACCGAAAGAAACCCCTTGACACCGAAAGGAATCTCTTCAAACCGCTCATCTTCACACCAAAAAACGCACAGCAAGCAGTTTAACATCCTCTACGTTCATCTCTTCAAACACAGTAAGTTTTATGTATCACTTTTTGCATTGTTCTCATCTCTCTCATTCTCTGCCATTGATTTCAGCATTGGAGATTCACTTGAATCTTATGGTTGAGCTCTTTGTGATGATTGATTTTGAGTTTGAATATATTGAATTGATGTTAGGTTTTCTAATTTGTTGTTTTAGGGTTTTATTTCTTTTTATGATTTTTTAGGTTTTCTAATTTGTTGTTTTAGGGTTTGATTTGATTATTAGATTAAATATGTCGCTGGACCGATTAGAATCGATGAAAACTAATATAAATTGGTGAAATCAAAAAAATTGCCTATTTTCTTAAACAATGATTTATCAGTAATGAAGTACTGGAGTACTGAATTAGTAATGAAGTACTGATTCTTAAACGAAATGCATATATCAGTAATGAAGCAGCTGGACGTTTTTCAGTTTCCTGATCCTTTTTTTCACCTTCAGTGGCCTTTCCTTCATTCACACCATTGCCGCTTTTCTTATACAACTCTAACAGGCCCTTTTCAGTAAGATGGAAAAGGGAGTTTAATGTCATACGATAAACTTGGCGAGCAGAAGAAAACACAAAAAGCTAGCTCCGATTAATATAGTGTGCCAGTTCCACTGCAAGATGGTAAATATTAGATCATCGATAGTGCATATTGAGAGAGTGAGTGAGAGAGAGAGAGAGATATCATACTCCATGTTTGGCTGATGCAAACACTTAATGCAGCACAGAGACAATATCAGTTTTTGTTGTGAACATTTTGCTTTTAATGCCAAGGAAACCCTTTAGCTGTTGAAGGCCAATTGTGATGGCAGCACCTCCCATAAAACCAACAATAGCAGCATGGGATAGGAAGTCAATCAAGAATCCTAATCTGTTGTTTTCGACATAAAACAAAGAAGAGAACCAACATAACTATAAGATCATCATGATATATTTGTAATACATGTATATCCGGTGTGCTTTGTAGGTTATACCTGAAAATCCCAAGAGTTGCTTGTGTAATCCCAGCGAAAAACGTGGCTGTAAAAGAAAGTCTTTGATATTCTGCTTTATGAGTAACGGGATCAATCTCATTACTAAGAAAAGTCCCCATCAAGAGAGAAACCACTGCCACCGGTCCTATTGCTATATCGCGAGAACTCCCCATGAAGGCATAAATCAGCGGCGGAACAAAGCTCGAGTCTGTAAAACGGTAGACCAAAAACTAACTAAATTTCAGTTCAACATCCGAAATTCCAAAAACAAAACTCAGGATTTGAGACAAAAGTCTTACACAGTCCATACTGCGGATCCAAATGCGCAAGCTTCGAGTATCCAATATCCTATTTCTCAAACCAAGTATTAAAACATAAACTGTGAAGCACCTAACATGAATCATGATCATGCATTAGCATAAAAAATTTACCTGAGGTATGCAAAGACTTGCAATAGTGAGACCATCAATTATATCTCCCCTAAACTTCTTAAGATTATAGCCTATCCCCCAGTTAATAATTGGGAATATGGCCTCAATACAAAGAACTAGCTTTCTTGACTTAGTTTGGTCTTTGAAGGATCTTAGAGGATCATAAGCAAAGAATGTTTCTTTAACAGTATATTGGAATTCCTTGAACAAGTTCTGTTTTGGAGGAATTGCAACTTTGTATGCATTTGGTGTTTGTGCTTCATCATCTAAAGGCGATATCTGGTTTCTTTCTGTATCTTTATGAGTTGGAGAATCCATTGGAGATATCAACAGTGACCTTCACTATGTTATGTTATAGAGAGAAAAGTCATAACCAGTGATGGCAATAAAGTCTAACTGTAACATTAAATTAGAATATGATATGGTTCATAAATATTACATGCAAAGTCTACCATGTTGCTTACACCTCAACTAGATAGTTCATAAATGAAGCTAATCAAAGATATAATTATAGAGACCGACTCGTAACTCTAAGAAACTCATGGACCACGTCGTCCATTGGATCGAGGGTGTGGCTTAATCGGTGTCATCAGTTCAACAAAAACAATGTTGGAATATGAGTTGAATTTTTAGGCATGCATATCTGTTTTTGTTCAACTAATATTCAAGTACCAGACCGCGTTGAAACACTTCAAATTTTCCTAAAATAAAACCATACATAGAGAAATAATACCTAGCAAACCTGAAGAGAAGATTTGAATGGTCACTGGTTCAATCTGGTTCAATCTGTAATACAAATGCTTTATTGTGAAGCTATTGGATTATATAACATGAATGATTTTATCTTCGAGTCAATGTTCTCAAGCTCAAATTGAAAACTTAACAAATTAATGTGTGAAACGTATCCTTATACTTGTCAAACTTATGCATTCGCATAATTTTCAATCACTACCAAACAATAATGGTCTCGTCTATTAGTTTGTTAACTCTATTTTTTTTGTCGTCTAACATATGCATTTGGTTACGACCCTTTCGTTAATAATTACAAGGTTGTTTCTGTGTTTTGCTATGATTTTGAATACATCTGCTGCCAACTACTAGGACATATTGATTTGTTTAGCTCTGATATTGCTGAGATTAGTTAGTTGTAAATTAATATATATATATATATATATATCAATGCTGATTTTGGTTGCTGTAATGTTTCCCTATATTTCAACATCATAATCAGTAAGCTGCTATTTTAAAAGATATGGAAATCAGTGTTTGTAATGCTTGTACTATATATCTGTGAAAAAAATAAAAAAGGACACAAGAACCATAATATGTTAGTAGACCAGCTGTTAGAAAGGTGCATGTTAGGAAGGGCAAAAGTGGGAATTAAGCTTGTAACTCTAATTATTACAGTTGTAACAAATGAGTAACTAGTTCAGTAAGTAAAATAGAATATACATGTTATGCCTACTGTAAAAACAGAATATACATGTGTGTAATATATGCCTACTGTGTATTACAGTATTACATGTGTGTAATTCAGTAACCCTCGTGCGTAATTCAGTATCTAATTCAGTAAGTATCTAAAACAGAATATACATGTGTGTAATTCAGTAACTAATTCAGTAAGTAAAACAGAATATACATGTGTGTAATATATGCCTACTGTGTATTACACTTGGTATGCTGCTTTGGTTTTTGTTGCAGGTAACTTTTCTCTTCTATGATTTCTACCAACTATTGATATGCTGCTTTGGTTTTTGTTGCAGGTAACTTTTCTCTTCCACTTGCTTCGCTGCTCTTCAAACCCTCGTGCGTCTTTGAGGTATGATTTCATTCTTAAATTTGAGTGTGCCTTTACTATATCTCTGTTTAATAGTGTTAGACTAAAAAAATTTATCTTATAAGAGTTTTATCTTAAATTTGAGTGTGCCTTTACAAATACATTATTCTTATAAGCAATTGTAATAACCAAAATTGCAATGTTTGCAATCGCATTCATACGGGACCGTAAAAGCACTTTAAAATCCTAGTACAAAGCAATATTAAGGTCGCACTCGCACACTGACACAACATAAGTAAATATTCTTGAAGTACCTAGCTAAATGTAGTAAACATATTGATATGAAGTATTTATCCATATATGTCTGTTACATGAAACTGTATTATACTAATTGATATCACAAGGCTTCACCTATAAACTTGTTATGTAGTGTGTAAAAACAAATTAAACAACCAATAATAAAACTCATCTCTTTTATTCTTCTATTGTTAATATTCAAAATAACATGTTCTCGTAAGTACTAGAATTCTGGAAATATAATTTTTTTTTTGAAGAAATGGATAAGTCATGGATTATTAAGCCACAATCATCGATTGCGTATCAAAAAGGGATACAAGAATTTATTTATTTTGCATTTAAAGGTGCAAAAGAAAACGACGTAGTAATATGTCCTTGCAAACGTTGAGGTTTCAGAAAATTAAAGAGTATGAGTGACATGTTCGACCACTTAAGTTGGTCACCATTTCTGCAGGGATACACCATGTGGATCCATCACGGAGAGTCTTTTGTACGATCTAGTACTATATCCCCTAGTACTACTCCAAGTATGGTAGAAGATACTAACATTGTCAAAGAACCTATTCAGAACATGATCAACGATGCATTTGGAGTTTATGGGAATCATGCAAATGAAATACCATCTGCGTCAAATTTGGAGATTGAACAAGAAGATTATGTGATGCCAAGCTCAACTCAGGAAAGAAACGAAGCCAAGGAGTATTATGAGTTGGCTAGAGAAGGAGAACAACCTTTATATGAAGGGTGTAGACGATATTCAAGACTATCTTTTTTGGTTAAGTTGTACCATATAAAGTGTTTATGTGGATTGAGTGAGAAGGCAATGACAATGATTTTAAAGTTAATAAAATATGCATTTGAATATGCAAACATTCCAAGTTCATTCTATGAAGCCAAGAAATCAATCACAAAACTTGGTTTGAATTATGTAAAGATACCCGCATGTCCAAACGGTTGTATGCTTTATTGGGGAGAAGATGAGGAGAAGGAGACTTGCAAAAATTGCAACACTTCAAAATGGAAAACAAATGAGGATGTCTCTGTTAACAAGAAAAAAAAAGAAAATTCCTGCCAAGGTTCTTCGTTATTTTCCATTAAAACCTCGATTACAGAGATTATTTTTGTCATCAAAAACGGAAGAGGATATGAGATGGCATGCAACAGATACTAACAATGATGGAATGTTGAGGCATCCTAGAGATTCAAAAGCTTGGAAGAAATTTGACTTGACACATACTTGGTTTTCATCAGATCCACGGAATGTGCGTCTTGCATTGGCTAGTGATGGTTTTAATCCTTTTGGTGTGATGAGTACAAACAATAGTATTTGGCCAGTTGTTCTCATACCATATAACACTCCTCCATGGGTTTGCATGAAGCAGACATCATTTATAATGTCAATGATAATTACCGGTAAAGAGGCACCAGGAAATAATATTGATGTCTACTTACAACCATTAATCAAAGACCTGAAGGAGTTATGGACAAGTGGTGTGGATACATACGATTCTTTCAAGAAAGAGATGTTCAAGTTGCATGCAAATTTGATGTGGACTATTAGTGACTTTCCATGGTTGGGTTCACTTTCTGGGTGGAACACATACACAGGACTTGCTTGCCCATTGTGTAACTTTCAAACTACACCTCTCCATCTTAAAGCTAGTCGTAAATGGTGTTTTATGGGTCATCGTCGTTTCCTTGATCGGAGACACAGGTTTAGATTGAACAAGATCCGCTTTAATGGTGAACAAGAAATGCGGAGTCCACCGAGAACATTATCTGGACATGAAGTTTTTGAAAAGGTTAAAGATGTTGAAGTCATCTTTGGTAAAAAGGCAGTGAAAGAAAAATCAGTAAAAAGAACACGTGAGGAACAACCTATAGAAGGTGATAGTACACAATGTGATCCTACAAAAGGTCATCCTCAACAATGGAAAAAGAAAAGCATATTTTTTGAACTTTCGTATTGGAAAGATAATCTTCTACGCCATAATCTTGATCCGATGCATATTGAGAAAAATGTGTGCGATAATGTCCTATTTACTCTACTGAATGATAGGCAAAAGAGTAAAGACCAGTATAAAGCTCGAGAAGACCTTCAAAATATGGGCATAAGACCTGATCTTTGGCCTGATGAAAATGGTAAAATTTCTCCGGCTGCCTTTAGTTTAACAGGTAAAAATAAAAGGAATTTTTTAATGACTTTAAAGAATATTAGGGTGCCTGATGGTTATTCAAGCAACATTTCTAGATGCATTGACTTAATAAATCTCAAGGTGAATGGAATGATGAAGAGTCATGATTGTCATATATTAATGGAACAACTTTTACCATTAGCCATTCGCACAACATTACCTCATGAGGTTTCAGCAGTATTGATTGAGTTGTGCTCATTCTTTAGACAATTATGTGCCAAGGTATTGAAAATTGAAGACATGGAAAAATTGCAAAACCAAATTGTCCTCACTTTATGCCATATGGAAATGTTATTTCCTCCCTCGTTCTTCACGGTTATGGTCCACTTGGTTGTTCACCTTGTTGAAGAAGTTAAACTTGGAGGTCCTGTTCATTATCGATGGATGTATCCTGTTGAAAGGTAAACTATGTGATTTTGTTCTAATGTTACTAACTTAATTAGAAAGTAGAAAGTTTTTTTAACTAGTGTTATTATGGTTCAATGATAGGTACTTGGGAAAACTTAAATCGTATGTACGTAATAAGGCAAAACCAGAAGGGTCTATTGCAGAAGGATACCGTTTTGAAGAGATTCTTACATTTTGTTCAAGATATCTAGAAAATATTGAGACTAGATGGAATCAACCTGGACATGTAGATGACGACCCTATTGATGATATCCAAACTGCTTCACGTGTAGCTGAATTATTTCCTAGAGTTGGAAAACCTGTGGGTGGATCTTCTTATTACACCCTAACACCAACTGAAAAATTGCAGGCTCATAGACACGTTTTAACAAACTGTCCAATAGTTGACGACTATCTAAAGTATGTAGTTTTATTACATTTAAGTAGTTTCATCTATACTATTAATATTTTTTTACATCTAATATCGAATAATCAAATAGGCAGTTCCGAAGTTTTAGTCAAAACCAAATGAGGCGCAGTCAAAGAAGTGCTACTGAGATAGACAAGAAGGTTCATAAGGAGTTTGCGCATTGGTTCAGCAATCGTGTGAGTTTTCATACAAAAATAGATGTTTTATTGAATTGGTTTTTAATAATAACAAGACTAATTGAATGTTGTATCATGTATAGATTCGCAACAATCTTGACAACATTCATGGGCCAGATAAAGATGTTCTCATTAGTCTTTCTCATGGACCTTTTGATAAAGTTAAAAGATTTACCGCGTTCAATGTCAATGGATTCAAGTTTCGAACGTTGGAACGAGACAATCTTTTAAAAACTCAAAATAGTGGAGTTTTTGGCATGTTTGGGACACGAAGTTATTCAAGCAATAGTGATACCCAAATGAGATTTGGAGGGGTCCCTTACTATGGAAGATTAATAGATATTATTGTGCTTTCCTATGATGGCTTCACAGTGCCCATGTTTAAATGTGAATGGGCTAATACCATAAACCCAAGAGGAATTAAGATAGATAAGTTGGGTTTTACCTCTATAAACTTTGCAAGACTACTACATACTAGTGAACATGAAGATAATGAGCCATATATTCAAGCATCTGAAGCTCATATGGTTTTTTATGTAGATGATGAGAGTGAACAAGGATGGAGCATACCTGTTCATTTGAAGCCAAGAGACTTGTATGACATGGGTGGAAATGATGAAATTATGACACCCATTGAGCCATATCCATCACAAAATTTGGAACAAATCTTTTCAAATGATGATCTTGGAACTTCAGCGACAAATGATGACAATAGTTAACATATAGTTTTTTATTGATAAGAATCTAGTTTGTTTGTAACTTGTGTGAGACTTAATGTATGATATTCCATTGTTACTCTATGTTCTTTGTTGCTTATCCCTAATTAATATGTTAGATGACATTGTTACTCTATGTTTTTAATTTATTATGTTTATGTTATGTTTATTAAATTTGTATTCACTAATATATAATTTTGATGTTTACTACTTTTAGTGTACTTAATACCTATACTTGCAGTTGAAGCCTTTTGTGAGACAATGACTACACCATATGAGAATAGTCGCCTCAAAAGAATTGCAGAGAATAAGAAAAAGTTAACGGCTCTCAATCTTCCTACACTCTCTCAATCCCTTCACAAATCATCAGAGTCTTCTTCCAAACCATCACTGGTCAGTCATAAATTCTCTATACTACTCCATACAAATTAATTGTACTTATTATTTACTAATATTCACTAATGTATTTTATTTAGTCTGTGAAGGGCCGTTCAAGGTTTGTACAACCTGGAGAGCTTGAAGTAAATAAGAAGCGTCTACGTTCAATTACAACTCGCAAATCATCAATAACCCCTCCACCAATGGAAACTACAATAACCCCTCCACCAATGGAAACTACAATAACCCCTCCGTCAATCCAAATTGCAAAAGATGTTGTGGTAGAAGATGAGGATGAAGATGACACGGTAGGAGATGAGGCTGATGATGTTGTGGTAGGAGATGGGACTGGAGATGTTGTATTAGAAGATGCGGCTGAAGATGTTGTGGTAGGAGATGAGGCTGAAGATGATGTGGTAGGAGATGAGGCTGAAGATGTTGTATTAGGAGATGAGGCTGGAGATGTTGTGGTAGGAGATGGGACTGGAGATGTTGTGGTAGGAGATGGGACTGGAGATGTTGTTAAAGTGGCTAAATCTGAGTATTGGGATGTAAATGTCATTAGTAAGTAATTTAAGGTTAAAGTATCTATAAATAATTTAAATTTTTTACATAGTTGAGTTATGAAATTAATTTGTTTACTTTTTTAATGTGATAGACGAGGAAGGTTATGTTTCAAACACACGTTTATGTGTGAAAGACTTGGTTGCGAAATCAGAGCCTGATGGAACATGGATAATACTTGAATTCAATAAGAATGATTGTGCAGTAGGACCGGCTTCTGGTTTGCTAGCAGGATATTTGGGTATAATTATTAGAATGTTTAGAGATATTCCCATAATGTTTGAGAGTTGGAAGAATGTTCCAGCAGATACAAAAACAAAGTTTTATGAATCAAAGATAAAGGTATTATTAATAAACAATTACATATTTTTTAAATTAACTTCATGGTGATTATTATTTCCTTTGTCAACTAATATATTTTTATGTTTAGCGCCATTTTTTTGTGGATGATGGGCGTGACAAAGATTTTGTACTTGCTTCTGCTGCAAGGAAATGGAAGGATGCCCGACATACATTGTTTCACGAATTTTATAGATGGGATCTCCCTTTGGAGGAAAATCTTCAAAATTATCCAAAATGCAGAGGCATTCCTGAAAATGACTGGGCTGTTTATGTTCAATATAGGCGGAAAGAAAAAACACAGGTAACATTAGTGTTTTTATTTGTTAGATTTCTCTGGTTTGTATGTTATCCCTATCTATAATGCATGTTTTTATTTGTTACAAATGTAGAAAATATCCCAAAAAAATTCCCAAAATAGAGCAAAATTGAAGGCTCCGCATACACTCGGATCTAAGTCGCTTGCAAGGAAGAAACATGAGTTGGTATGTCTAAATCTATATGTTGTTGATTGTTTGCTTGATAGTACAAACAATTTATATTAGTTTTTATTTGCAGGAAATGAGAGATGGACGAACATACAGCAGAGGAGAAATGTATGCAGTTTCTCATAAAAAGCCTAACGGGTCATTTATCAATGAAGATGCATACAACAATAATGTAAGTACAAGTTAATTCTTTTGAAATACTGAAAAAAAAACGGTAATAGTAATAGAACCATCCCAAATAAAACTCACCACTGGAATTTATATATATAATATGGAGAAAGAGCCCGATATATGCTTGGATTCCACTTGATGACATTGTAAATGCCAATCGTGAAAATAGATAGTAACCATAGGATGATTATGGGAGGAAACATGAAAGCAATCGCGTGGGAGCAACGGTGTTGCAAAATAAAGAGACCAACCAGTAGAACACAGGAAATAAGAGGCATCATACCTGCATAGATTAGAAGCGTAAGTTGTAATGGAAAAATCACCTATGCTGCATTTGACATATATTTGAAACATTGAAAACTGTGGGGTAACTTTAGTGGGAAATTTCAGAATAAATATCCTAGAGTGATTTTGTTTATACTGAAGAATGGTGGATAGCAAGCTTTACTGAACTTCTTGTAAACAATTCTCCATGTCACATTTGCAATAGTTTGTGCCACCTCCTAGTTTGTGCCAACTTCTTTTTACGTATATATGGAAGTCCATGATTTGATCAAGAGGTTCTCCCCCAATATATTATTCTTGTTATATAAACAATAGCTCAATTTTTTCTTTTTCATGTGCAGAAAAAATTACAAGCTGCAATTAAGGATTCTGTGTCTGAAAATGAGGCATTTCAGAAAGTATTTGGAAAATAAAAGCATGGATATGTTCGTAGTATGGGACTTGGAGTTACACCATCTCAAATTAATAGATCTACGAGATCGACATCTTCTTCTGCAGAAAGTGAACAAATAAAGGAAATGCAAGAAGAAATTAATGCACTTAAAGAAAAGAATTCAAAAATTGATGAATTAACACAGGCAATCATATTCTTAACGCAAAGGGACAAGGCGAGCACAAAGGAAATTGAACTCTTAATGCAAATGCAGAATTTTAGTGGAAGACAGGTATATTATTTTGACGCATTTAAAGTTAAATTTTATGAGTATTATTTTAAATATTATTATTTTAATACCTTTTTTTAGGGATTGGAATCACCCGCTGATGGTAGACGTTCATCTGAGTCTAGCTACCGTATTGGAGATAATGGAACTTCAGGGGGGACAAATTAGACTTTGCTATGATCGAGATAATTAGATTGTGAACTTTCTCATGTATTTTTGGCATAATGATACTTATTATTATAAGATTAGGAATTAATATATTTTGGGTTTTTTGTACTACTTGACATGATTATGGAACTCGCATTTTACATGATTATGGAACACACATTTTTTTGGATATTATAATGCTTATTTGATGTTAAATATTTTTTATTGAAATTATTTTTACTATATTACAAAGTGATAGAAAATAAAACAAAAAATAATACTATAAATAGATATATTAAAGAAGAAATAATTTAAAGAAAAAAATAACACAAAAAAAACTATATTTAATATTTTTTACATAGATAATAATTTAAATAAAAAATATATATAATAGAAAAATAAAAAAAAAATCAAGACATAAACAAAAGTCATGGCGACAGTACCGAACCGTCGTAATCAACAATTAAAAATAATCAACAAAAGTGATGACGGTATCGAACCGTCGCCATAAACAATTTAATCAATTTCAAAAGATATTCACGACAGTATCGAACCGTCGCCATCAATAATTAAAAGAAACTCAAAAGATAGTCACGACGGTATCAAACAGTCATCAATACTTAATTATGTCAGCTCTAAACCCGTCGTAAACTTGAACGACGGTTTTTGTAACCGTCGCGAAATAGGTTGGGGACACACACTTCTGCGACGGTAAAGCAACCGTCGTGGAAAGCAAATTGCGACGGTTTTAACCGTCATAATCTACAAAAATACCTGTCACAATCTGCCAATTTTCTTGTAGTGCACAAAAAAAAACAAACAACCAAATGTCTTGAGGTAAACCTCAAGAACTCCAGACAAAATATCAATTAAGGTCCAAGGTCTCCAACATAGGCCAAGGTTTCTAATCCTAAGTCCAAGAAGTCCAACACTCCACCATGCCAAGGATAGTAACCAAATAGTCCAAGTATCATTAAAGATTTTTATGATTTATGTTGATTATTAAGTATATTCAAAAAGAAAAGAAAAGCTCAAGTGAGCAAAATAAAAATGACATAAAAGTAAATGCTCAAGTGAGCAAAAATGAAAATAACATGAAATGTAAATGCTAAAGTAAATAGTACATAAAGCATAAAATCATAAAGTAAAGAGCATAAAATAAAGTCAATTGTTAGAAATTAGTGGTTAGTTGGATGACCATCTTGAAACTTGCATTAGGAACTCATTAGAGGATTGGTAGAACCAAATCCTCCACACAACAAGTTGCATTTGCTTTTTGTCAAGTATATTATCTATTTAATAAATTCTCAAGGCAACATTTAATGATCAACGATGTTTAAGTGATCCGCATTGACCAAAATTGATGAAGATCTATTAGAGGATTGGTAGAACCAAAGCATCCACACAATGAATCTCAAGGTTATTGGATCAAAGGGATCAAATTAACATACTTGGGCTTGCAAACATTTGTTTGGGCCACGAATGATCATTTATTCGAATCGGGACAAAATTTAGCACTATGTTAAGCAATCATAAGTGGACTTATGTAGAAGTAGCACCTATTTTGAGGCCGGTCAATAGCAATCTATGTACTTCATGTTTGGATAAATGATATAGAGATCATCACCCCTTAACATGTAGCACAATTAAAAAAGAAAGGGATAAGATGAAGAGAGAGGGGAATGATAAGCTAATTTGGATCACTACCTTAAATTTCTTTCATCTTTAAATTCAACCACTCATCTAGATGGATTAAAGCACTAAACATATCATTAATACAAAGCACCAAGAATGAATTAAATAATTCACTCTTTGATAGATTGGAATTGATGAACATTTACCCAACTTCATCTACACCACAAAGTCCATTGAATTTAAAGAGAAATTGGACATTTAAAATTGTAATCCAAATCATCCATCAAAGAGAGTGAGCAGAAAAAAAATATTTGAGTCAAACAGTCCCAAAATAAGGCAAAAAAAGTATTTTTGGCACTGTTACAATCAATTGTGCTTAGACAGCAACCAATTGCATCACCGCGGTTTTTTCAGATTAATTTTCTGTGACAATCGATTGCAATGTTACAACAATTGATTGCAACCTGTTAAAATCAGTAGAAAACAACATTTCAAGGATCAAATTCTTGTTCCAACTTTTCATCAAACACCTTATGATCATGGATCCAATTGAGCATGAAAATTCCATCAAATTATGAGAAAATAGCACTAATGGAATCATAAAACAGTTCTCAATGAATCAAAACCATAAATCTACAAGAGATCACATTGTGAAAGATGATGATCCAACTTACCAAAGGTAGAATTAGAGAATTATCAAACAACTTCCAGAATTTGCTTCAATTCCACCACAAGATTCAATTACCAAAGCTTGGATGTAGAGAATTGATGAAGAAAAAGTATTTGGATGAAGGTTTAGCTCAAAGATTAGTAAGCTTCAATGCAAAGCTTACTATCCTTTTTTTGAAAATGAGGCTTTGAGTGAATTTGGTAGATGGAGAGAATTAGGAGATTATTTAGCAAAATGAGTTTGGCTATCAAAAGCTTGTGACTTGAATGAAATGAGGTCTCTATTTATAGAGTTTAGGATTGGGATTAGTGGTAATTTGGTAATTGATTCTTGGAGCCAAAAATTGAATTAATGATATAATTTTCAAATTATGCAGAAAAATTGGAGCCAAAAAGATAACAGTTTGAAATTGCTGGCTTTTTTCAAAAATCACGTATGTTTTGCTACTATGAGTCGACACAAGAGTCGTATGCGTCGAAACATTTTAGTTGTATAACACAGCATGAGTCGACGCGAGCTTCTATGGGTCGATACAAGCTTTTCTTTCAACACAATACATAATCAATCAATTTGCATGAGTCGACACATAACATGTATGTGTCGACACATGC